TTTGACGTGCAGTATTGTCCTTTTGTATAAAACTTTGAATATTGTTTCCTATTATTACTATTCAGATTAAAAATTGTATATAGTTCATAATGACAATTGAATCTTGGATTTACATTACCTCAGCATTCTATTACATAGATGTATTAATTATCTATTAGAATTTAAGAAATAATATAGTTAATAGTAATAAATTTTTGTCAACAAATACATAGAATATCAATTACATTAAAAATTGATATTCTATGTATTTGTTATTATATAGTTATTTCACTTGATGTTTGCGACTCGGTCCCTGCACTCAAGCTTAGCTTCGCAGGGACCTAATCTCAGAATATTTAATGTAAAAGGTTATTTTTAATATTTATTTTTTCTGAATAAATGAATTGAATTGAATGGAATTAAATTGAATGATCTAAAATCCAAATTTTGAAATGCATAACAAACCACTAGTTTTCTATTAACTAAAGTATAAATATTGTATAAATAAAAATAAGACATTGTCATGACCAGCGTCAAGAACATCGTCTTATTTAAGTTAATGAAAAAACGAAATTAATTTTATTAATTTTAAAGATTAAATAGCTTTACTGATTCCATACTTTAACTTTTAAACTAATTTCATTCTCAAAACTCACATCTTCATGGCATTCATACATTTAAGATACTAAACTTATATTTAAATCAAACTCAAACAAGTTTGTAGCATACACATACTATATTAGCTGTAAGTATATTTTGAACATAACATATCCTACCAAATTATAATATTCAACAATTCTATTCCAGAGACGCAGTAAGTCTTCCGAAGTTTATAACCAAGGTCAAGCAAGATGTATATGCAGTAAACACACTACAAAGATATGTGGCCCTAGTCTACTTCCCTGCGGAACTCCACGTGTAGATAGCTGTAATGTATGCAGATGATGCAACAAGTATGCAACTGCATAACGTGACATCTTCATTATACTGCGGGATAATATTATTGAATAATTCAATAATTTATAGTATGCACACGCTATAAATTATTTATAGCGTGTGCATTCTGCAACTACTTTACCTACATTTCAAAATCGTTATTTCAAAAATATGAAGGAATAACTGCGTTTAAGGAGTTATGAAGCAGCATTTTGAGGTTATGGAGCAAACTTCAACTTAACAATAGTTAAACGTAATAATGATTTAAAATGTTGAAAAACGGACTAATAAATGGTAGGCTTAAAAATCATGCACTACAATTAATATGGATTTCAACAAGATGTTATGCGAATTGCGCAAGAAGTTTTCCAATTAGACGATAAAGAGTATATTTCATTACTAATTCATCTTATACAACGTACTGAGTTTGTGGAATACTTATTTTTCTGAAAGATGTGTTAAAATTTTTGTCTTATTGAATTATTTTTCTTTCTTGAAGCTCCAGCCTTTTTGCGAATCAACAACTGAACATTTTGGAATAAAAAATCAGAAAGTGAAATTCGTTTTTAAGATTTTTTGCTTATGTGCCAGATTAAAATATTTAAGAGGGGAGAGTATACTAAAGCCCATTCGTAATGATTTTACATACAAAAAAATGAACCTTAAAATTATTTTCATAGCAACAACATCTTCTATATATTTTTAAAACCCTTTTTCTCAGCTCGTGTGCATCGTAGGGGGGATCTACGCATACTGTTAGCAAGATATTTTCCTGTAGTTGTGCAGAATCCCTTTATAAATTAAAATAGGCTAAAAAATAAACACAAAAAATGAATTTAAATTTAAAAAAATTAGCATGAGGCTGGTGAGAAAATAACAACGAAATATAAACAGAAAATAAAAAAAATGGAAGAAACTCCAATCACATGTTTTATTTACAGCGTGGGATGAAAAGAGAAGTCTGTACATTAGATTTTTTTAAGTTTTCGACCACTGGGTGACCTCGACACCTTTTCCACATTTATTTGAGAAGTTATTAATTGTATTTGGGAATCATTACTTGCATTTTTTATTAATAAAAAACTAACCTAACTTAATATTTGTATTTCAACGTTTCTAATTAGTCTATTTAAAAGCTGTTCCTCTAGAGGCAAAAATTACTGATTAACATAAAACGTTTATGACAACGATATGCAAAACTAAAATTATTCATTATAATCAAATACTGACAAGTTTAAATTTAAGAAATTGAATAAATTACATCCGTCTTTTTACATTGGTGTAAAAAAAAAACAGGAGAATTTATTTATTACATTTTAGACTTAAGCCGTCTGTTTCAATCATAAAGGGAGGAAGGACCTGTAACGGACTAAGAGGGTTACGTGACCTCCCATGATTTATAGCTACATCTGTGTTGGTATTTATGATACTTTGGTTTCCGTCGATAGGAGTCAATATTTATACAAGACAGAGTCTCCCAGGTTTCCCCCAGTTATCGTCGTATGTCTTATTATTAATCCTTGTCATAGAGTCGAATCATAAAATCATAACCGAGGTTGAGGTTGGCTTGAAATTATTTTTAAGTGGAAGAATGTTGCATGTAAGTTTTAATATAAGTAAACACTAAACAGCCCAACTTAGGGAAATGGTTTAATGAGTCAGGACAAAGCGAAAAAACAGAATTAGGTTTCCTCCAAAAATGCTTCGTTAACCTGATATCCACCATTTTCGTTTAACATCAAAGTTGTTATCTTTGAATTTTCAACCGATGTTTATGAAACTTTTGGTATTTATTTTAAATTGAAAAATATCTATGCTATAAAAATTTTTGTTAGTACAGGTCTCTTTCAATTTACAACAAATACAAACGTTCTAAAATATTGATTGAACTATTTCAAAGATAAAAATATTCATATAAAGAATACAACATGTCGGATATGTGGATAAAAAGGTGTTTTTGGCAAAGATTTATTCTTTATTTTCTCTTTATTCTGATTCAAAGAACCATTCACCAGAGAGTTCGGCTGTCTGAATACGAGACATACTACTTTAATACACAGTACGTAATAATACAGAACCAGTCCATCCATTAAACAACCGTATTTATATTTGATTACTTAATTTCTAAACAAGACATTTGGTTTAAAGATTACAGGTAACTAAAATTTTATAAAATATACCCCTTTGTGTGCTCCTCAAAGTACAAAAGTACTTATTGAGAATATTGTTGTTTATCTTAGACGTGAAGATAGAGTAAATTTTCCTGTGAATGTGAAACTATTAAGATAATAATAAATTAGGGTCCTGGAACACTATTTTGTATACAGTTTGTATTAGCAACGGGATGTTTCTTATAAGTAAAGCATTTTTTTAGAAGAAAGGCACGCTACATCTTGCAAATAATTTGTTTTATGTGTTTATAGAAGTTACTTTCATAAATTTTCATATTTATGTCTAACCCTAGAACTGTTTTTAAAACACTTTTGTGTATGATGATTCCCGACAGCACCCTACCAATGTAAAATTTTGGGGGAGGGATTGTTTCTGTGGATTCTGTGAACACTTTGTTGAGAGATATTTGACTCGACTTTGTTTCCCGCATAAAGAAATGCTAATTATCACATTGAACAAAATACTGCGGCAAAAAAGTAAACAAAAAACAAAAACTATTTTGTCTAACCTTATAGCATTGAGTCAGCAAAACAGAAATACTTTTCAATTTTATCTTTTTATTTTCATTTTCGTTGGACCTCAAAAAATATTTTTTGCCTACTTTTAGTGTGAATACCCTCAAACTGGGAACACATTTTTGCATGAGAAGAGATATAGGATTGTGTATGTTAAGGCTCTGGAGGGGTGTTGGGGGAGGGGGTTGTACCAAGTCGAGATAGGGGTAGCACGCGAGAATACCCTAAAACATATCGACTACACAAATGGTAAATAAAATCATGCCTCGTCACATGGAATGCTCGTTCCAGTTCATATAATGCAACTTTCAAACATAAAACTTAAATTTTAAAAGAAAGTCATCATGTGAAAATGTCGACTAAATGTTCGGGTTTTATCACATTACATCACTAGCTTAAACAGTTGTCGATCGAAACAAGGAAATAGTATAAATAATATTGTTTATTAGCTTCTTTATTCAGTTACTCTTTTCTTTTTCACGTTCGGAATTTATTCCACCATGAAACCTTAACTCATTCGTGTCAGCGCTAAAGTATCTACTTATAACCATGAGAAATTTGCATTAATGCTCAGCCTCCTGATGGTAAATGGCACAAGATCCACTACTAACTACTACTACTACGAACCAGGTTAGTAGTACTATAGAATTGTAACTATTATTTGCTCATCATCAGACGAGGTCATACGTGTAACGTATTGCACTGCTATAAGCGACAATGGGTCGAAAGTATAACTACAAATCCAAAACTACTAGGGCACTATTTTGGATGACTAGAAAATAGCTGTGCTGCATCACTAAAACTCATATTTCGAGGTTCCAGAAGATTATAAGGTTGAGATGATTCACAAGAATATAAGAAAGTCCATTACTTATGTTTAAGGAGATTCAAAACTATTTTTATTTTTCTTCAAGCCTTTTCACAGTCAAACAGACCACCGTTTTAATGTGGTAAATAAGCATGGAAGAAACCCACTTATAATAATTCTGCTCACTATAGCCATTATTTAAGCTGATGTTTACCTACTTGCATGATTATTAATTGGCCTTCACAAAGTCGATCCACATAAAAAAACTATGTTGGTTTCTCTTGGTTTGAATTTAGGATGGTGCGTTTTTTTAGTTATTCATCTTAGCTCTCTCTGAAGTTTCATTACTTTTTGGACACACCTTAACTACAAGGTATATTTCAAAAACTGAAACTCGTTTGTTCAAATTTACAACTATTTTTAAATGTAAACCAAAAATCATTTCCTAGTTTTAAGTTAATTATGCTAAACCTTTACTATACCATTGTTAACATCTTTGTTACAGGAAATTATGAAATACGTATAAATAATACACACATAAACAGTAAATATGAATACATGGTGTCCCAAAAATATAATATCTAACGTACCGAGTCAGCCCGCATTCTGATCTCCTTGCCCGCGGCCGCCAGTAGCACTCGCAGTATGGAGGTGGCTGTACCCGTTTGTCTGCTAGCCACCAAGTGTACTGCTGTCTGCTGTCTGGCCTGGACATACAGTATATCTTGTTGGTAAATTAAATCTCAAATAATAAATTATTGTAAAATACAAAAATTATTTTTCCATCCACTAAAATCATAACGATGGGGGTTTGCAATCACACGCACCCTAATAGAAGGTTGATGTATTTATAGAGAAAGAGAGAATGTAAAAAAAAATAGTGATGTACTTATAGAGCAGATTATAAATGTTAAGCGTTATTAGAATGAGTTGTTCGTGGGTTTTAGTTAAAAAAACGCCAACTCCGATATGTTGGTATACATATTAGCTTTCTTTAAAATGTGACAATTAAAAGTTAATAAAATGTTAATAAAAAACGTGACTTGCAAAATTAAAAAAAAATCAAAAAAATTGTATTTTTGTTGTAGTAAATATTTTTTGTTTAAATTTGTATTGAAGGTTCAATAGACGAGCATTTACTAAAATATTATTCACCCGGCAAAAAGGTAAATTTCTTTGTGACAAAACTCGATTGGATTACCATGTGGGTAGGTTCATCATTGAAGACGCACATCTTTCCCCTATCTATATTTAATTTATAATTTTGATTACTCTTGTAAACATTTGTTTTGTATGCCTAATACTACAATGTTACAATGTTGTCATATGGCGTTTTGTATCAATGTAAAATAAAATAAATACATTGAAAAGTGCAGTTATGATTCACAATCACCTATTTTTACTGATTAATGAAATGAATAAACCACTGATTAATGAAATAATTTCCTATACCTGCTCTAATAAGCTTGTATAGGGAAATAAAACATGTCTTAAAGTTATAGGATATTAGAGATTTTGTAACAGGAATAAAATTACTGGATCGGTTGATCATGCTCAGGCTCGTGCTTAGTCACTTTTCAGCATATGGCACCCAGATGAGCTCGACAATCGGTCCTGAAGACCGTTTTACCAGCAAGTCTTCCTAACACTTAAGGCTCCTTTTATTCTGCCGCTCTCTCCAGGAGCCGCTTTTGAATCACTGAAGATTTTTTATACATCCAACCCATGTTGTCCTGCTGCTACTTAACTACTCTTTATTTTATTGTCTAATCTGTTTTGTAATTCTGACCACCCTGTATATAACTCACCCCTCCCGGAGCGTAGACGTCCACCCCCTTCTTGTTGAGAAGAACTTTGACAACATCTTCCCTGGAAAACATGGACGAGATGTGCAGCGCATTGTAGTTGTCCTGTAGATAACACAGATTAAAATATCATCAGCATACTAGAGGATGAAGTTCAGTCAACTATTTGGCGCTTTAACCATGATTTGAATGACAATATTGTTCCAAATGTGGTTTTAGCACAAAGCTACCCACGATACTAACTTATCCAAGGGAAATGATCCATTGTTGTATTTATTGAAGTATGTTGTAAGAGGGAGCTTTTAAAGTTAAATTTTTTTGAAATACTGATTAAACTCATTTGTTTAGAATTAACAGTTGAGTGCATCAAACCTTCCTACGTATTAATTCTGTAGTTAGAAGGAATTAACACTAATATTACTCCTAATATAATTAAGAATTTAACACACTCACTACCAGGTGGCGAAATACCATACAGAGGGGTTTGACGGCTGGGAGGGAATGTGTTAATGATTTACACATGCTATCAAGTTAAAATCGTCAAGCTACAAAAGACATAAATAAATATGTGTAAACTTAGGAGATGAAAACTACCTAATTTAACTACCACATCACGCAAAGGCATTTAAATAGAAAGACGCTTGGTCATATAACCATAAATAAAAGCAGTTATTACCATAAATATAATGTTAAAGCTAGGGGTATTACAGATAAATTGTCGAAGGACGATCATAAATAATTTTAAATTGCTAGACCTGTTTAACACCATCATATTTCTTTCCAGATATACTACTATTCAAATAATATTTCAGTATTTAAACTTGCTTATGTGTAATAAAAATGCTAAATTTGAGTTACATCAAAGCTAAAACAATCAGAGCATCCTTGGTGACTGAACTTATTTTACAATAAAAGTGTGCTATACAACAGTTTTAACTTTTATACACAAGTAGGGAATGTGTTTATAGTTGAATCATAAAATTAGGTTTATTGGCAAACATTACGATAGTTTGTACCCAGAATTGTTATAGAGTTCACTGAACTATACCAAATTATGTTTACGATAATCACACTGAAACCCAAGTTTTCTCAAAGACTAAACATTGTCCTCACGCGAACAAAATGAGTCACTGATCTTCAATTACTCTCTGGAAAGTTTCTCATCACAAAAAGTGCTTGAAATCGCGGAGTTCCTTTACCAATGACCGTTATTTGATTCTAGCAGTCAATGGAATCGCCGACCTAATTTTACGAATTCTGTAATGCAATCATAACGAGTGATTTTCATGCTACGACGTACGACGTCTTTACACGAGTTTAAACAAATTTGAAAACCTATGAGCTGTCTGTCTTGTTTTGCAATTGGTTTTGAGACTGTTTCAAGAAATATATTTTGACTATCATTGGCTGGATGCAGAAAAAATTCTCACTTTTGCCTATGGTTCAGATAAAAAAATGTCATAAGTACCTATATAATTACAGTTGCAAGTCAGTCTTAGTGAGCACGTTACCTAAGACTTTATTGCTGACATTTTCCATCTTGATTAGTAAATAAGTTTACACGACGTTTCTGAATCTGGATTCTGATCCCGACCTCAGGTAATATAAGAAAAATTAGATAGTGGGGTTTATTACACGTATGTATGGTCTTATTCATAGTTTTTGTTATATACTGTTGGTGTAATGTGCTATAGTTGGTAGAGGGGCTTATTACACATAAAGAGGGTTCTTCATAAATATAAAAATCCTTCGAGTTCCTATGTAACATAGAACTACTGTATTTAGAGTTGTGCTAAAATCACTTTAATCTCCTCCGTTTTGTATAATCTACTTTTGATAAGCCACTAGCTGGGGGTGTTGTGACACATATAGAGGGTGAAGATTATTTTCGGGTGATTATGTAACGGGGACGGGTCAAGGTGGTGACGTCACGCAATACTGCCATTATGACGTCATTGTGGGTCGATCGAGACGTGAGGCTATGTTGAGTCCGTTGAGTCACGCCGGTCAAGAAACTGATTCAACACCACGTCAACACGTCGTGCTGCATTCGATCAATAATAGCACATAGTCAAATGCAAAGGTTTGGGCCGTCTTACGTGAACTGGTATGGTAGGGAGCAATTATAAGGTTTCAACAGATTGGTTGGGGTTTTTAGTATGGAAGATGACGTTTAAAAATTATTTACGTACCCTATTGTTTGATTTCAAACAACTCCCCAGGCTCCACTCAGGGGAGCGGGTCGTGCAATTTGCGCCAAAGAGTTACTCAATTGCGCCAAGCCCTCAAAGGGTCCCAAAAAATGTGCCTTAGTCGCGCCAACCCCAAACTAGGTAGGGGTGGGTAGGCGGCAGAAGGAATGTCCTTGTTTACGTGTCATCTTAACATATCCTTACCTAACCTACTCAACTATACAGTCAAAGAGGGCCGCCACTTAGTACAGTTAATGACATATCGGGTGGCTCCCTGGAGTAGATGGCGCAATTCAGGAATACCCAACTACCTGACTCAGGTCAGTTGGTGTAGTTAATTAACCCGGGGTGAAAATGTGGTACAGCGGTAGAGAGCGTTAAATCGGTCCCCGAGGTTCAGTGTTCAAATCCGGCCAATCACACCAATTGACTTTATCTAGTGTTTAGGTCACGACGCTCTAGTGCTAATCTGAAGTAATGGGTTAACGGTTCCGGACTGTGGCCTGGGATCATTCTATAATTTATTACAATAGGCTAACTTCTAAACCTTAAAGTCTAGGGGAAATGTCAAACAATGAAAATGTGAACATTTCGATGTCATTCTAGGAAGTCTGTATAATGTTAACTCAAGCGGCCTAGTGGTTTTTGCGTGATGATAGGATATAGGTTATACTCACTTAAAAAAACTGTACAATGGTGTAGAGAAAGCAAAATAGATTCAACTAAAGAAAGAAAATCACAGAGTCTAAAAAAATCTAATAAACCCAGAGGTCGTGCTGAGAGTAGATCTACGACAATAATTCACCTACCTAAGTATTAGGCATTTTTATACCTTGGGGTAAAAAGTAACAATTTACCTTTAAGCTTTTTAGAAAACAATTACACAACTCAAGAAGTAAAGTTAGCTAATGGGAATTGTATCAATTATATGACTTTGCGTGACAACAATATGAATGATATTGAAGTCTGGATTGAAATCAGATAAGAATAGGTGAAGTTGTAGAAATAACGAGTGCAGCGTTATCAAAGGTCAAGATCACGTGACTGATAAACGCTGCTTATGACTTCCAGCTGGAAACGATGGTAGATTATGTAAAACTGCATTGCGTCATGCACTTACTAACTAGCCTACACTACAAATAATGTCCTACTTCATAATACATTGTTCCTAGAATTGTGTTTAAAATAAATTCAACATATAACTTTGGTTTAGAGTTATGAAATATAAGATCATGGATTAAACCAGTATACCTCCAGCAGGTTTATCACCATTATGGGCTAGCTGAAGATAATTTTGAGGTATGTTTCTGCGCGGTAAGTATAACACTAAAACAAGGAAGAAAGATTTAGTGGGCATTAACACGCCCGAATACTGGTCATGAAAGCATTTACAATGATTCAACATTTTATCGAAGTTTTTACAACAATTTAAAGATTCTTTCTAAAATATAAATAGACAAGTTAACATGGTATAAGATAACACCTTGAGACACCGTAAATGAGACATCATTGCACTACCACACAAAAACATACATTAAATTGTATTTAGCTGATCCACAAGGATATTAATTTTTCTAGTGGGAAAATATTCCAATATTGCTAATCCAATATTGATAATCTATTTCAATATTCATCATATCACATATAATCAGAAATATGTTTAGTTAACTTCG